AGTAATAAATCACTCACTCGGAATAAACTACGAGCATTCTTCTCAATACTCACAGTTCAACGAATACGAAGTTCTGAGGAACGCATAGACGACACACACAAACAATCGTTTTATTTAGGTATAGATTATAGAAGTCATTGTATAGATATAGATTATAGAATTGATAGTATAGGTAAAGAAGTCATTCAAACACGCAGACGGCTTCAATATCTGAATCAATAATCTAGCGTAATAATGGCGCAGGAGTAAATCTCTGGGGGCGTCTAAACTAAACGAACGGATTAAGCGAAGCGTGAACTGATTGAATTTGTCCTAATGCGATAAAGTGCCGCTCTGCCCAAGGTTTGGCCCCGTGCCAAAACATAATCGGGAATATAGAGCGAAGCAAACATTTTTATATTATCTGTTACACACAATGACACAGTAATAAAGTTCCAATAGGTTATAGGCGCGCGATAGCTATACTTTTTAACTTTGGACGAGCAATTCTTGTATATTGTATAAGTATCATGTACCTTAGAAATGCCTATGATTTGGATTATTTTTTTAATTTAGATAAGATTTTAGTTCATCTATCTAATATATAAAATTCTCGTGTCACGGTGTTTGCAATCAAACGGCTCGACCGATTTTCGTGAAATTTTGTGTGCATATCGGCCAGGGTTGAGAATCGGACAACATCTATTTTTCATCCCCCTAAATTTTAAGGGTGGTCCACCACAATCATATTTTTCTACCCTACAAATAATTTATATAGCAAAACAACGTTTGCCGGGAGAGCTAGTATTTTTATAAGTTTTCTGTTAACTTGACCTATAACTCGATACCAGGTCGACGTCGACTTCTGGGACACCTGTATATGTGTCATTCTTAATAAAAAGACTTTTTACTCTAAAAAATACCAAGAGAAGCTTCGTCTTCCAGGAACTATATAAAGTTCAAGGTTCAAGGCCCACTAATAGGGAATACCATCATTGAGTTAAAACTGTCGTTTAAGGAGAGGCATCGGGAGAGCCGTTAAGATAAACCAATTTGAATATTTTTTTTAACATCGCTCTTGCTAAAATAACATTATCCTGCTTAGTAAGGAAGTTTTTGATGCACTTATTTCATATGAACCAACACCTTAATCTGAAACGCTTGTCTGTGAATCGCAGATACTGGGATTGCGCAGGTACGGCTGTTGCACGAATGAGCACGTTCGTCTGGGGAAATGCCACAGCGGTCTGTGATACTTTTGCGTTTCATTTGGTGGGTGAGGTAGCGGGGATGCTCTCTTTTATAAGGGAGGCAATGCAACTGCAGCCCCAAAGATTTCACAATAGGAGTCCTTTGCTACCTTTTCACATAAAAAAATCTCCCTAACAATTTGTACACATTACTAATAAAACAGGAACTAAGCTAGGCTTACAAACGTATTGAGATGACTCTTGCTCTGCACTCGCAACCAATGTTGACGAATACATTTAAAAGAAAACAAGAACATATTGGACTGCATTGTTACTTGCCGGTTCTTCTCTGGACCGGAGTTAAATAGCTTATCGCAGGTAGATCAAAATTTCATTAGTGACGATATGACTCTGTGGCGCATTTGCCATTTGGGCTGCGGCGCCGCGGGTCGTGCGTTCGGCTCCCACACGGGACTATGATTTGGTCGGCCATAAGATAATTATTTCCGAATCGGGGTGTTTGTCCACGTGGAGTTTATGTTTTTAAAATGTCCTTACAACACAGGATTATGTTATCCGACAGTAAGGGCAATGCTTTTCAAAAATACAAGAAAAAAAAGAAAAAAAAATTGACCTCAACTTTTATTTAAACTTCTGAATTTCATTAGATCTTCGGTTCCAGAAGGTGACATTGGTTTCCATATGGAGCACGGAATTTTTGTACGCATCGGACTTTTGCAAGTGCTAAAACACTTGATTAAAAGATTTTTTTGTCATATACGGTAGGTTAGAATTATCGATACCGGCCACCGTGAGAAAGAACCGGTTGTTTAAGTTTGCTTTTTGTAAGACCTTCGGACATGGGTCACTCCTTACGAACGAAATAAAGACCCATTGTATAAGACGCGTCCATTGCCTTAAAAGGAAGTAGAATAATTGCATTACTAAGAAGCCCTAGAAAATTCCATGATCTACACCTTTCCATGCGTGATTACTAAACATTCTCGTAATTGATTTCGTCACTCAACGTATAATAACTACTAAGCCTTTATCGCTTGAGTTTATATAATGTAGTCTATCAATCGAACGGTAACAAAGATTGCCGCGACAAACATTACGTTTAAGCAGCTTTACAACTGTTTTAGTCTCACCCATATATCCTTATCTATAAAGTTCGCAGTCTAAAGTTTCAACTCAACTGATGTTAATGGCTTTTAGTTATCCGTTAAGATAGAGAATTTGGGGTGACAAGAGGGATTTACATACATTTTAAATGCAACTTGTTTCAAATGTATAGATAAGTCTTAATTATAAGAACAGACTAAACATAATCGCAAACAAGTTTTATCGTCGGAGATAAAACTTGTTCGCTAAGATCTAAGAGATATGCGATTTACTGGAATCGCAAAAACATAAAACTAAAATGCTGCCATGTCCCGATGGGGTCAAAATTGAAGATCGTTAGTGCTGTTGATAGTGCATTTTAAAGTAACGTATTGCGCGTTCAAATCATCGCCGATAGGGAATGCGGCTGGCGGAATGCCATAATAGCTTCTCGGTTGCCCACTGGGCCCCCAGATTACTCGAAAGGAAGTTATTCCTCACAGAGCTAGACGTCTTTATGGCGAACTGTTCACGCATGAGAAACTTTTTTGAATGGATGGGCCTTTCGGGAGTATATCAAGTTAATGTGGGTTGCATTACAAAGCCCATATTTGAGTTAATATACGAATATCTATTCGAAGTTTACGCAACAAATGCTCGTAACAGTCGCAAATGGTTTTTGCGCCTGTTTGAAAGGAATAAGTTATGATGTGATATTATGGCCACTTAGAAACCTTGGTCCATGTAGGGTAAGATTACAATTACTGTAGCTTGCAAAGTGCTCGTAAGTTAGCAATCAGTAGCAAAAAGGAAATAAAAAATGTTGAGTACACTTAAACCAAAATGTGCATATATTACTTCTTATAATAATACTTCTTATAGTAAAGTAAAGCAACTAACAGCCTGTACATGTCCCACTGCTGGGCAAAGGCCTCCTGTATACAGAGGGTATCAGAGAATAGGCCACACTGCGGATTGGCAGACTTCACATATCTTCGAAATATTTTTTTTGTTATTATATCGAAGAAAATGCAGGTTTCCTCATGATGTTTTCCTTCACTGCAGAGCATATGATAAGTCAGCAATTTCATGGGTGTGGGTACTGGGGATCAAACTCAAGTTGCTAGAGTACTCATATTTTGAATTGAAGGCGACTGCCTGGACAATGAGCTATCACGGAATTTATAATAATATGAGAAATGCTTAATTCTAACTTAATGATAAAATGCTTAATGATAGCAAGCATTAATGGGCAGGGTCTCAGTTTTAATATTTATGTAAATAATGACAAATATAGAACTATGTCCCTGTGATTGTGGCTCTCATGTAGCCATGATAATTTTTAAGTTATTTTATTTGAAAATAAATAAACACATAGAATGAAATAAGTGATTAAAATTTGAGAATAGTGAAATCCTATATTTAATTTAATTTTTGATACTTGCATACCCTTGGAATATCAACACCATGAACTTGCCAGAGAGAAATACAACAGTTTTTGAATATCAAATATAGATTCTATGATTTACAATTAATGATGTTAAATTCTGTAAAAAAGAAATGCATGAGTATCATGGAACATTTGGTTAGAACGAAGTTCTTTTTGGTATTATTATTGAGCATTATATTATATTTCCAATAACTAAAAATTTTATCCCCTGTGCCAGTCCTCTTTGTTATACAAAATATAATAAATGCAATTGATAAACAGTTTAATTTTTGCCTAACCTATATCTGCCAAGTCCATACCATGCGAGTAGGAACTTTGTTTCAAAAAATTAATCCCGGTACATAATTCCAAGCATCTGGTATTTTGTTTTTACTTTTTTGGATTTGCTAGAAAACAACTACAAGAAAACTAAGACAAAGTTAATTAAAGTCCGTATTAAATATTTAAAAAATATTACAACTTTCGTGTGCATAGTTACTTATTGTGTATTATCATTAAAACAGATCATTAGCAATGACTAGTAGAATAATTATGGAATATGGAACAAGGAAGTTCAAGTTCAAAATTGTTGTCTAATATAAATGTCGGTTCAAATTGTTTACAACTTTTTCTTTCTCAATAATTAGAGTAAAACACTTAGATTGTTAGATTAACAATATTATAAAAGTTATTTTAGCTCTTAAAAGTTTTACGGACAATAATGTTTTGTTCTGGAAACTTTACATTGCGGACATTTGTATAAAATCTGCATACTTAGTTTAGTAAATCATGTCTTCCTGCAATCAAATCCAGTTGTTATTGTAAGAAACCAAACAACAGGATGTACCACTTCAGCTTGCTATATATAGAAATAATTGAAAAGATAAAATGACCTCTCTGGAAATTAATATTATCTATGGATGAAACAAGGTGTTTAGAATGAGAATTGTTAATGCCAAACATAAAAAAAGAATCTCAAAAACAGAAGAAATCTTTCTAAAACAGGTACATGGAATACATATAAATATATATCTAAAGTTTTGGTTGGAAGTTAACCCATAAATTTATAAATTGTTTATATCAGCTGGCATAAATACAGAAATACTTTTACTTCATGGGTGATATTTATATTACCAATAGTATGTCTCATATTAATTGGTATGATAAAGGAAATGGTTAAAACAGAAAAACAAATGTTTAACATTAATGCGTCACTAAAGGAAAATAGTAGACTAATGACAAAATAATTAATGAATGCATTGTAGGGAGTAAATTTAACAAATAAAACATTTACTTACCTTAAAGTTATAGGTACTGGAACTTCTTCACAAGTAAGGAAGGGAATGTGAGTGTTGTTATTCCCTACGTCAGAATATCTATACAATAACTACAAACTTGACTACCTGGCCTAGACGCCTCCGACAAGGTCAATGATAATAGTTAAGAGCAATACGACTGTTCTCTATTTCATATTCTACTGATGTTGGTCAGTTTATACGGAATACATGACGTTTTTTGACATTGACATAAAAATATGTCATAAATATTATGTTCAAAAATCTGCAAGACAAGATGAACATTATTCACTCGCCTACTGTTTTAAAAAAGATACATTATTTTAAATAGGTTCCTATTATGTAACCTTTTATTATTAAAATAGGTAATTCAACATTGTGTTTTCAACTATTGTTGGACTAGATTTCATTTTAAAGTAAGAATAGGTGCTAAATATATTATGTACAGTTGTTAGGAGTGTCCAGATACGCTCATCGAAATAATACACACTATTTTTTTTATTTATACCGTCGATTTAAATTTCGAGTCGACAGAGCCTCATATTAAAATATGTAGAAAAAGTGCGAAAAGATTGTCGCCGCTGTGGGAATCGAACCCACGTCTTCGGCATTCGCGGCCTGACGCTCTAGCCACTGAGCTAAACGACTGATTACCACACCGACGAAAATCTTAACGCATTCTTCTACATTGTTTTCTTAGCATTTGAAGCAATGCTTGGCGCCATCTATTGTTATATCCTTTCCAGCATACAAACAACTTCGAATATCGTTTTACAACGATAATTCGAACGAGAGATGTCGCCATTGCTTTTTTTTTTAGAAATTTAAATTGTTTATAGTGCTAATCTTTGCACTTAAGATTGAATATTAAAATATGTAGAAAAAGTGCGAAAAGATTGTCGCCGCTGTGGGAATCGAACCCACGTCTTCCTCTACAATTCATGTATTTTAAATGTAATAAAATGCTTTTTTCCAATCATCACACAGCTTATTGATGTAATATTTACAAGATTTAATCTATCTAAAATTACGTATTATCTAATAAACCTAATCCACGCGTCATGGTGCCAAGAACGCTAGCTGCGTGTCCTCGCTGAATATTTATGCATAACCAATAGCATTGAGCAAGAAAATAAGTAGCTCTCTTGTCACCAGCCGCGGCGTTAAGCCTAGGACATAAACTTTACCCCACGGACCTAAAGTTTCAACAGCAAATGGCACAAATACTTAATCTAAACATAAATACTCATATCTGCGTCATTTACTTACTTCAGCTGCCTCGGATGCCACCCCGGCCCTGACCGAAGTACCCCTTAGATGAGAGGCAGCCAAGGGCTTTGCCTCTCTCCCAAGGGATCAAAGTTAAACCGTCGGGTCTTTTACCATCGTGGCGAAAAATACCACAGGGCTCTAAAATAGATGGAACATTGATGGAAACAAGAGCCCTACGGATGATGTCGTTCAGGGAACTGTAGCGGGAAAAGCTGCCAGCAAGTTACTTGATGGTAGTAGCACGTTATTTCAATGTGCCCAAGTTACTTGATGGTAAAGCGTGAATCCAATAACTCGATTCTTTAGATGAGGCGCCTAGGAAACGGGCACGCTCTAAATTACTTTCTAAAGATTGAAACGTATCTTTTTATACTCTTCGCACCAAAGGAACATCCCACTGTTTTTGTAAGTTTACTTCCAGTGGGATATTTTCGTTGGAGCAGATAGACAGCCAAGACATCCTGGTCTCCTCGGCATAGGAAAGTTCTGAATTGTGATTAAGGATATTAGTACATAAACTAGCTGCTGCCCACGACTAAGTCTGCGTAGAGGGGTGAAAATTTTCCCAGCTTATGTCATTAAGAGATAAATTTAGAATTTCTTTTTAGAGCTGATTTAAGATGGAAACCAATTTCGTTCAAAAAGTCACTGCATTTCCAAACTGGACTCGAGCGAAGGAGGTACGTAATGGTAAGCGCAATATGCGAATATAGTAAAAACTATTTGTTAACCTAAAAATTGATTTAACTTTAATTTTAAATGAGGTTCCAAACTTGGTATCAAAAAAGGAGCACCTAAGAGGTAAAGTGAATCTGAACGGACTACGTTAATTCCTGGTATGATAGAGTTAAGATTTTGGGTCAAAAAGAAAAAGGTAGGAAAAAGAAATCTATTCGGGAAAGAAAAGATCACATCTCGGTCTCGATTTAAATAATTCCATTTAAATCGAGACCGACATTTTTAAAATGTCTTATAATTTCGATAGATCCCTTTGTAAATGGTCAACTTTACCGCCCAGCGTACCATCGTCTAGCTACCAAACATTAAGTTTAGATTTCAATTTTGAGATAATTGGACGAATTCCCAAACTAAATAATGGTGGTCCTAGCGGATCTCCCTGCTGAACGCCGACAGCAGAATCAATAATATTGTCTTCATAAAATAAATTACCCATTTCACTGTAACATTGCCAAACATAATGATATATTCTGGTGTATGGTTAGCCACTTCGTTCAGCAGAGTTGTTCTATCAATGGAGTTAAAAGCATTCTTAGGTCAACCTTCAGAAGCACATTCAAATCACTAATATTTAAAGAAGTTCGAACGGAATGAACAGCCAATTCACAGCCGCCTTTGCTTCCAAAGCCTAGTTGAACAGGCTGGAATTTTGTTTTAAGACCGGAGATTATGTGCATACATGCTAATTTTGAAGTTAAGCGTTAAAAGGTAGAACCAATAGCTATAGGACGCATTATCTTATTTTTTTAAAGGCACATAATTTTGCCCCGTATAAGAAATTAAGAATTTACTTTAAAATTTAGAATTTACTTTTCCGGAAAGCGTTAAGTTGCATAATTTTGTAATATCATTAATAAGTGTTCTGCCTGCATCACCGGCGGAAACGCTTACAAGTTCTTTCAGATGTTGTGACGTTATACCGTCAATGCCGCCAGCAGAGCCACGTGAAAATGACATAATTGCCTCGAAAGTGTCTTTATCGCTAATTTGCAAAGACTGATATGAAGAATCGGGAGGCTGCGGTAGGAACGGCGGAAGATTGATCGAGGGATGCTTTTGACGGAGGTTTTCTAGAGTCTCATCATTATAAGAAGCAAGGATGTCGTCTGAAAATAAAAGGCGCGATGCATTTTTTAAATCACCATCCATAACTTTAGTGTCTACAGTTCTCCTTAAATCGAATTTACGGGGAGGTTTAGTTATGAATGGGAGAGTCTTTAACTCAAAAATTTGGAATGAATTGCTCTTGGAATTAAATTGGAATGAATTAATAAAATGCTTCAGAAAAATTCTATAAACTCTAAGCAACAACATTTTTAGTTAGTAGTTTTATATTAATCCATTTTCCTATAGATTTGTGGATCAAAAGTATGAGTTACTATTTTATTTCCTATTAAAGATTTTAAGTGTACCTACAAAAATTATGTACACTAGGTGTAAGTACTTACTACATTTCATATTTATTTATCTTTAGTGTAAGAATTTCAGAAAAAGCCCAAAATTGAATTTAACTCTAGAATCTATTTGGGGAATTTAACAAAATTTTATCTTTTGTGTACTGTTGTAACATATTGCTTGTTCAATGAAATAGAAAACTCTCGGAAATGCAGCATAAGTCATTTTTCCCTGCTGGTTGTATTTCGATGCAGCGACAGTCGCGTGGAATATTACTCGTTTATTCATTAAAAAAGTTAAATGCTCAGTGGTAATAGTCTTTTTTTTTTTTTATGCGAAACGTTGTCAAACGAGCAGACGGTCCACCTGATGTTAAGTGAATACCGCCTCCCATGGACATCTGCCACACTCGAGGGTTACAGATGCGTTGACAACCTTTTGAAAATTGGGCTCCGGCCACCTCACTCACCAGACGAAACGCGAAAGTATTTGACATACTTCCACTTTACGCTGGTCTTCTGCGAGGTCGTGGTACTTACCCGGACGGGCCTGCCCATTCGTGCAACAGCCGAGGATGTTGCTTGGCCCAACCACCGTAAAGTCTTCAGAGATATATTAAAAATTATAAAAATGTTAAGAGATAGACGCAAAGCAAACTTTTTATATTCTGACTGGATATTAACTGTTTCTAATTATACATGATGTAAATGCCGCATTGTTATATAAAATCTTATCCTTTAAACGAGAAATTCTTGTATATACAGGGAGATTTTTTTAAATAAAAAAACAAAGGTTTTTTTTCCAAAAAAAAAAGACATTCTATTCCTTAAAAAACAGAACGTGTTGACAATGCGGTAGTCATTCATAAATACCTAAATTTAACTGTGCACGAACTTGTGTGCGTGTTAGTTATGAATGATCGCGCGTAAAATAAATGAGTTGCATATAAATCACGTACTTTTTGTGATAAGTTCACATGAATGTAATTAATTACTTAAGAGTAATTTTAAATATTTATCATTTTGTATATAGCAATATTTATGTCTAGAATTTAATAAAAAAAATGGATAGCGTGTCGTTTTAAATTCATTCAACCCATTCATATGCTTTGTGACCTTTACAAATGAACTTTACGTTACAGTTTTATACGTAAGGGTGTTCTAAAAATGTTTTTTTTTTGTAAAATTTCATAACACGGTAAATATTGATGTTTAAAGAAATTTACATTTTTTAAACATCAATATTTACTTTAATACAATTAATACAATTTTAAAGAGTTATCCTCTATACGTGTGTTCATTTATTGTCGCGATTGTAAAGACATATATTATATTGTGTATATATATATATATATATATATATATATATATATATATATATAATATACGATTTATAATATGATGGTAAATTTCGCCGCAAATTTTTTTTTTTATAATAGCTCGGTTGGTACTTGGGCGGCCCCAAAACAGACGGCCGCGGTTCGTATCACGATAATGTACACACTTGTTTTTACTTTTTTTCTATACCAGATCATTGCTTTCTTTATTTTTTTCTTTCCAAAATACATGATTTACCAAAAAAAAACCGGGCAAAGCTCGATCCTTAAGGTACTAAGTACTACATTGTGCAGTGATGCATGCCCCCTAGTAACTTTTTAAAATTGTCAGGTTTTACTGCAATCCTAACGGTGATGCTGCTGGTCCAATCTTTCCATGGTTCCGTTGTCTGTTGAGTTAGCGATACATGAAAAATTCTGTAGATGAGGAAAACAACTCAGTCTAAAGTAATTTTGATTGAGGTATCTGTAGCGATGCAGTCCATAAAACAGAATGTTACCTCGAAATACAGAAAGAATCAGAAGCCGTAAAACCCCCTTAAATCTGTTGACGCCGTTAATTGCCATATTATGATAATAGTTTTTTTTATCTTCATCTTGAAGATCCAGAATCATCTGGATCTTCAAGATGATGATATTTCAGTTATTTAAATAATCATATTTCAGACTCTTTTCGCTAAACATCGCAATGGCTATTAATAAGTGACACGGCCAAGCAATGTCCATCTTGTAAAGATATGAAATTGCCGTTTAGTATGAAATAAGTAAAAATATTTTTTTTTTATACTTTTTTATTTCTGTTATTCAAATTAATCACCCATGCTATCGATGTATCTTTGCCAACGCAGTGGTAGTTTGTTGAAGCCCTTCTTGTAAAAATCAGCTGGACGGGAGGCAACAAACTCTTCAAAGGCATTTTGTACTGCTCTTTCTCGGGAATTTATTTCTTTTTGCCGCTAAAAACTTGTCAAATTTTTTAAGGTCTAGTGAGTATGGCGGGTGAGGGAAAGCTTTAAATCCCAACTCTTGCAATTTGCAGACTGTCTGAATTATCTGTTGTGCAGTATCGTCACGCATTGTCGCAAAGGAGCAACGGGGACGACTGATTGACCAAAGCTGGTTGCAGTTATGAGAGCTTCTTAGTCATTGTCTTCATTTCTTCATAGTACACATTTGAAGCAATACTCATGCCGTTTTGTAATAAGATGTGATGAATCACAACGGCACTAGATCACCAAACAGTGACCACCACCTTTCTAGAGTTAATTTTCGTTTAGGACTGAACTAGGATCTAACCATCTTCCTGAGCGTTTTCGATTGTCGAACAGAATCCACTTAACAATTCGAGTTGGGTGAAAATTTAAAAGACGGAAGACTGTATGCAACAATGTGTATTTAATGAGAATTCGGTTTTGGGTTTTGTCAAATTAAAAGGCCATTGAATTTTATTATTATCGTACCTTACAATTAAGCCTGAATGTAATTAAAGTTTACACATGGTTCATTTTATATATTTTTACTTTATGTCTCCCCTAAAATGCAATGCAATGAAATCTGTAGGATAAAATTCAGAGTTGGTGCGAAGCTTTATCCTCTTGAGAAATTAAGTGCTCCATTAGTTTTAATTTACTCAACGCTCGTGCAGTACGGTTCATTATTTTTGCCGCTTTCTGTGTAAAATGCATTTAAGCATTACTGTTTCGCTAAACTGCAAAGTATATTTTCAAAGAAGAATAATTTTCCCGCGAGTTACTAAAACGCGAATATTGGAGTCGACCCCTATTTTTTGAGTTACTTTGCATCGATAATCTGTATTTTATTTTAGATATTTTATATCTCACTCTTCCACCACTCTTCACCGGCTCTTCTCAAGTCAGTGGCTTTTCTTTTCCAGCAGTGCAGTGTAGTGTTTTAATAATCTATAATTGAGTTTAAGGTGAGTGCTATGTTGAATAAAGATATTTGAATTTTAATTTTAATTCACTCACTATATATTTTCTATTCGATTTTGAGGAGTTCCTTAATGTATCTATCAAATTGGTATGGAACCACATGTGAGATATACCGAACCCAATGCAAAAAAAAAATTAATCAGTACATATAACCTTTTTGCAATCGGTTGAAAATATTCGCGAATGCAAAGCTGCGTTGACCTTGAGAAACAATAAATTTTAATTAAGAAATAAATAAAATATTGTTATTAGATTTTAATCCAATTCCAGACGTCCGAACTAATTGAAATGTCGCCCACAAATAAAAAACCTTTGATAATGAAATACAGAACGATATTTATATCGATTCTCTTTTTACGCCAGAAGACAGCAAATGCGCAGGCACAGCCTTCTCCATTGCGACAATACAGAAGGCTATGGCGCAGGCCATAATAAGCGCATATAATCGCCCCATGACATTCCTAGCACCGTACCACCGACAGAATGTTGTACCGTGAAGTTCTAGAACTGACATTTTCTTTTTCCACTTTTTCACAAATATTTTTAAACGACAGAGAAACACAACTATGGAACTAACTGTATATCATAACATTGAAATTATGAAGAAAAAAAAAAAGTCTAACCATTTTAAGGGAATTCGCATAGAATATAGCAACTATAAATAATTGCTATAATTTCCTAGTTGATGAGTACACCCTCTTCCTAAAGAAATTTTGATGTTTTATTGTCAATTACATTTTTTTTATCGTATATGCTTCTCACACCGCGTGTTGCAACCTCGATGCTTTCGTTTAATTTAACTGCGATGACTATTTTTAACTACTACTTACTACGGACGAACTTTACAAATATGATATTACATTTATTCAAAATTAAAGGGTTCTATAAAACTAGACTTGGTGAAACAATTATTAGAGCGTACCAAGTGGCTCTATAGCGACAACTGTTACTCGACTTGGAGCGCAAAGATAAGGGGGATTTAAAATACGATTCATGACCGGGGCGGGGCAAAGGAAGTCGGTGAACAAGGCCGTTTCGCCAGGAAGTACATTCGATCTTACCTAATTCTCATTTCTAGTGATTAGTGTTAATACTTTAATTGCATACAATCTGAAAAATAAAATAAAAATTTTCCACAGTTCTTTGGTAAGTATATGTTTGTGCCTAAGCAGTTATTATAAATTTGGGTAATCTAAACACCCGATACATAAATGTCGCACTGAACCTCCTTAATTACATAGGACAGTTGGACATAGCCAATGGTGACTGGGATTTGAAGACTTGACATATATTATATGTGGGTGTTTTTCCCCCTTTCTTTCCTTATTGTTTATAAGATGCAGGTTCAAATTCTTACAGCACCTACCATGTGGTTAAGCATCGCTTTTAGTTGAATCAGGTCATTACTATATGTCCGAATTGCTATTATCATATATTATCATTTGATGAATTGTCATATTATCATATATTATCATTTGTCATATTATGATCGTTTGTCAAGAAGCGCAAGTTACAAAGATGTGTTTTAAACTAAATTTAAATAAAAAACTTTTTGTTCAAATAATGTATTTGTGTCATTTGCTATTGAAACTAAAAGCCCTAACTGATGCGTGGGGTTACGCATGAATCAAAAAGTCATCCTTGTTCCTTGTTCCTGCGGATATACACCATTACCAGTCTGAAATATAAAATCAGAAAACTCGTACGTATTTTCATTGCCTCCGGATACACCCTCGCATATTTATTATCAAAAGCATAGGGATGATGTATCCTAAGAAGGTAAAGACGGTGTTCATAAACTAAGTGCACGCGGACAAAGTAGCGAAAAAAAAAATAAACGTATTTCTATTATATATATATATATATATATATATATATATATATATATTATAATATTTTCATTTTGTATAGAGAAGAAAGAATACTAAAAAGGCAAAAAAGAGCCGAACCGCGATAAAATCTGTTTGATACAATTCACAGTCAGTGCGGAGCTTTATCCTCTTGAGAAATTAACCGCCCCATTAGTTTTAATGTACTCAATGTGCCTGCGGCACAGTATATTATTTTCGCTATTCAAACGTAGAAAGAAATTCGGTCTCATTGTTACGCCGCCCGGTCGTATTTTGGGGGATAATAAGTTGGAAGAAGCGAATTGTCGGCCCTGTCCATCTTTTGTGCTAACGTTTATCACTAGCTGGTTTACTGTGGCCTGCCCGTGTAGACAAGCCAAAGATACACTTATATTTATCAACATTACAATCTAGCCGAATGCAAATATTTCCTCAAAAGTGTTAGATTACGTCGAGCCAATTGTTATATTTGACAGTATTTTTTTCCGACTGCAAACATGGAGATTTATAAACGTTAATATTTTTCTTTATCATAAAGTGTAATTTTTGTTATAAATGGTTAATGTTGTATTTCCACTATTAAGATAATATATAAATTGGCTTGGTAGTTTAGAAAACTATCAATTGTGCAGAAATAATTTTAATTGATTATAATTTTTGCGTTGGCTCGGCCAATTGGAGAGGATTGGGGAAAATCGTGCAGTCAAGAGAGCATATATGGGGCAACCAAAAGCGTCCTGTTGGTCGTCCCAGATATCGCTAGAAAGACGAAGTCCATAAAGATCTGAGAGATCTCCAATCAGCCAATTGGCAAGAAACAGCCCAGAATAGAGAGCTGTGGCGTCTTTTCGTGTCGGAGGCCAAGATCCTCTTTGGGTCGCTGAGCCAGCCAAGTAAGTAAGTAAGTAAATATAATTTTGATCAATTGAATTGCTATAGGATTTTTTTATGTCGTTTTCGAGTCTTATAAAGGTTTTTTAAAGTAGATAAAATTCTAGTTATCTTTATTTTGCATCTATACTCATGATTAAAGCTGTGTTTAAAATTGGATACGCACTCAGTGTATACTAACCTAAACCATGTGATACTACCAGGGTTGTGCAAAAAAGCTTCACCTATTTACTTTAAGGGCTACGACAGATTGCATATTAAAAAGTGTCGATGAAACTACCGCAAGATTTTTATCCACAGTTAAACTAAGCGAACGGTACCTTACCGCCCGTATTTCTATAGGTAAAGTTACAGGTTGTTTCATATAAAGATGTTAAAAAAAAGCTAAGATCTGTTTATGATTGCTGTTGAGATGGATTAAATAATGGATAATTATAAATAGTTTTATAGATAGTAATGTTATTGTCTAGTTATCATTAATGTTTTGTGAAAATTCAATATGTTTAAATGTACACGCAATAGTGAGAAAGTTAATCGTGTATTTATAAAGGATTTATCTGTATGTGCATGTGCGTTTAAAATCTTTAAAATAATACTGTTAAAACAGTTTTAAAGCGCAAAAATGTTTCTTTTCTATCTCGAACCAATTTCCGTTTCTTGTTAAATAACCCAATTGTTAATATCC